TAATAATAATAATAATAATAATAATAATAATAATAATAATAATAATAATAATAATAATAATAATAATAATATCTCTTCTATATATAAAGTGGCTATGTAACGGAAATTCTTGTTCCACTTTTTCCCCCGTTAAAGTTAACGGATTCCGTTAAGTAGCAATTAAGCCACATCATTGATGTTTGTCTGTTAGAATTCCATTATCCTCCCCAACTTCGTGCTCCCATTTCAAGAAGAAGCCTCTCTCTATTTCTCTCACACACAGATACACACACATTCATTGTCCAAAACAAGAGAGATAAATGAATAGATACATCTATTGCGGATTACTTTTTTCAGATCGGCTGATACAGGAAAAGAAAATGCAGGGTAAGAAATCGAGCATCTGAATCTTCGGAAAAGCGCTTCAATCCCGAATTTCGATTTTGATGCTCTCCATGTCCCCATCTTTGCTTGGTTGTACGTTGTACAATACCCAATTGATTTCTCTAAATTTTTTGGTGCAAATGGCCATTTGTAGGTTCACATCTCCTTTGTTGGAAATAAATGCATTTGGGTCACATGGTTACTAATGATAAATCTTCACCTTCTATTGTTCAGTATGGTAAGGATGAGATAATTGGATGCACAAATGGCTATGGATTTGTGAGGTCTGGTGATGAAAGTGAACAACTATGAGCCATGGCTGTATTCCACTCTTTCTTCATCCCTTTCTTTCTTTCTTTCTTTACACACACAAAACTGTAGAAATGAAATCTTTTTTTGAATTTTTTTTTGACACGTTAATGTGGGCTTATTGGGCTTATTTAAGTGGTTCTCTTCAACACTTATTGGGCCGGTTCTATTGTGACCACTGGATGAAGATCTGCGGTTGAGATTAAAGTGGTTGAGATATTTTTATTTGGTTTTGACCTATATCACGTGGGTTGGCTTCCTTGAGACTCAACCCTTTTTTTAATCTCGATCTCTAGTCTGCTCTCTGTCTTCTTCCCATTCCTTGAACCTGTCAAATCGACCATTTTAACCTACAAACTGAA